TGTGTGTGTGTGTGTGTGTGTGTGTGTGTGTGTGTGGTTGAAAACACTGAATCCGTCTCTGGCTCAGCGCCAGTCAAAGCACGAAAGCAAATCTGAATTTTGCAGCTGATCATGTGACACACTGAACATTCTATTCAAATTGGTGTGATCGGACGCTCCAGGGACCAGCCTAGAGTGATCACGCCTGTGTGATTGTATGCATCAACGGGTTAGCATCAGGTATTAAGAACTATCCTTTATGCTTCTGTTTTGGTGCAGCTTTTTTTTCCAGCCATTTGTAAGTGCTTTCCAAGGACAGATCTCAGAGATGATACATGTGAGGGTATGTCATTTTTTATTTCTAAAACAGATGAACCAAATCAACACCTCTACCTGCTGCTTGCAATATTTCTCATTGTGTCTCATGCCGTCTCGTTTTTTTTTTCTTTTTTTTTTAGATTTGTCCAGCAATTCAACAAGCAATCAGTGAATTGGAGAAGAATCTACAGGAAATACCTGGTACTGGTTCAAAAACATTTCCAGATCACCAAATTATATATTCTGCACAAAAGAAAACAGTTTTTAGGACTATATATATATATATATATAATTTTTCTTTTATTTTTTTTCTTTTCATGAACTTTAGGGGAAATGTGCTTAATTGTTATAAAACAAAAACATGAAAAAAAAAAGTATTTTGATTTTGAGATTCACCTTACTGTGGCTTATTTTGCCAGCATTATTTAACTTCTGCTACTAAATGACATTACTATGATTGTAAATTCTAAATCCTTGAAAAACTTGTTATAGCACCATTTACATTCCACTTCATTATATGGCCACAGTAATCATGCTCAAATTAATTCTTTCTAGTCAACATACCCGTGGATCAGTATATATATCTAAGCATCCTTCTCACATCCTCCCCGGCTGTGACAGATCGAAGCTTTGAATTAGATTTTAAGGTAAGGATTTTTAATTCAGTATTTGTAATGATTATTGCTTTATCGAAATTCATACAGTTACAACTATTATTGGGTTTCTTTTTCTGAATATATTTAGTATGTGAGTAGATTTCTTGATTTATATAATGTCTTACCGATTTTATTAACTTTGGAATTTTTACTGTGACCTGCCATTGATTTTCAGTTGGTGTTTCTGTGACAGGGTGAGTTTTACAGCATTAGTTCTCCATCTGAACCACCTTTCTCTGCAAGCGCATTTGACGTTAAGTATGCGGAAAACTACATGCTTTCACTGGCTGCATCAGAGTTCCTTGTAAATTCAGCAGCTTATGCTTACCTAAGCTCTGAGGTTCTCCAAATCAACATTACAGACAACATGGTGAGGAAATATAAATAAGCTCTTCTCATTCAGTCAATAAATTAATAATTAAATGCATACATACATACATAAACAGTGTTGGGCAAGTTACTCTGAAAATGTAATCAGATAGGCTCGCGGGAGTGTTCCACTGGCACTTGACTCGACAGTGCGTGTGCTACATCCTTTTTATAATCATTATATTAGAAAACACTGCTTTCTGTCAGCAATGTAACGCGGCAGTAACGTATAGAGACTTCGGCTTGTAACTATACTCTAATTACTATTTTGAAAATTATAACGCGTTAAATTACTCCGTTACTAAAAAAGTAATCAAATTACAGTAACGTGTTACTAATGCGTTACTGCCCAACACTGTACATAAATAGGTCACACTTTATTTTAAGGTCGAATTGCTGACACAGAAGAGCGTAAGCTGCCTGCGTTCGGCTCATATTCTCCAAAGTGGCACTACGGTGATGCGGAGACACAGAGGAGACGAATTGTTCAATAAAGTATATGTGCTTTATAAGTACTAATAAACAGCCAATGTGTTAATAATAGCCATGAATAATAAGCAACTAGTTAATAGTGAGAATTGGTGCCTATACTAAAGTGTTACCAATAAATAAATACTTCTATCAAACGAAACATAAAACAAGATGGCATCTGTGTTGAAAGCGATGTGTACCTTAAAGGGATACTCCAGCCCAAAATGAAAATTTTGTCATTAATCACTTACCCCCATGTCATTCCAAACCCGTAAAAGCTTTGTTCGTCTTCAGAACACAATATAAGATATTTTAGATGAAAACTGGGAGGCTTGTGACTGTCCCATAGACTGCCAAATAAATTACACTGTCAAGGTCCAGAAAAGTATGAAAAGCAT